CTCCCCTCCTCTTTCCTATTTGCACTGGGTAAGCTCTCTAGTCCAGAACCTGTGAAGGAAGTTTACAAAGCCTTTAATTTCCTTCCCAAAGCTGGGAGCGTATTCAGGAATTAAATCCCTATTTTCCCTCTACATCCCGCCAGCTACACTACTGGAATTTCCTAAAGCCTCTTCAGGTTCCATTGCTTCTCTTTGGGAAGAGCTTGGATTTCAACCTGCTGTTGGCCGAATTCTCCCAAGACCTCACCTTGGGTTGCCTCTCTTCCAAATCAGCCTTAGATCCTCCCTTAGGTTATCAACCAAACTCCTCCTTCCTCTACCCCTATTTTCTCAAGAGAAAATCTGAGATTCTTCTCAGGTTTTGGGCAAAAAAATCAGAACTTGCTGTCAGATTTTGGAGAAGAGATCCTCTCCCTAGCAAAGCCCTTTCCCGTTCTACATCAGTACCGCTCGGTACCGTTCGCTACCTCTCAGTAACGCTTAGTACCGAGCTGCCGTGGTTTAGGGTTCGTTTGGAAATTGTAATGCCTGGGGTAAAAAATGCTTTATTTGGTATTTAAATAGAAAATCTATGTTGCAATTACGCTAATTAAGCGCAGAACCGTTGTGTATGAAAGCTCGATACTGATGATCGGTCCTTTTTTGTGTATGAATGCTTGATACCGATCGATACCGAGAAACACCGAGCAATACTGCTCGTCATTGGTCAATACTGAGTTTTTCTATAAACAAAGTCGATATCGGTTGGTGATATTGCTCGGTACCAAGCGATATGGTACCGAGAGGTAGTGCTCGATACCAATCGGTACTGAACTTGTCTTGTGCGTATATTATTTGGTACTGCTCGGTACATTTCGGTACCGACTATACGTTATTAATTACCTAACTTTATTAACTTATTATCGATCCCAATGTTGTAGGGATATTCTCCGCCTATTCATTTCTGATGCAGAACATTTACATTTAGGGGCTGTTTGGTTGCCTGAATTAGGAGTGTAAAGTAAAACAAATACATGAATTTATTAAATTTGGGTGTTTGGTTAATTTTTAGCGGAACAAATGAAAGTCCTCGGAAGTATTAGGGGTGTATTAAGTGACCTGTTTTGTGCGAATTAGAAACTCGCTCAAAATGAGCGGATTATAAATTCATCGGAAGAAATCTTTAGCGTTGTTCAGCTTCATTGCTTCGCAGGAGGTGGAAGATTGCACGAGCGTCTCCATTCCTACTCCGAACTGTCCGACCGACTGTAAGATCTTCTCTCATTCTCTCTCTCTCTCTCTCTCCGTATTCAATGTCTGGTTATCCACAGGGCTCCGGTATCCCTACGGCGCGGAGGACGGAGTCTGGGTGAACGACGCCTGCAACATCGGCGCGGTGGTGGCCGGATTTGGACGAGGTAAGGATCATCTGGTCTCCCGAGAGAGCGCGATGGCGCGCGGAGGGGAAGGAATCGTAGGGTATGCGGGAAGGGAGGAAGTGGAATAGTAGTAAGGTTTGAAGAGATTTGAGGTTACCCTGTTCGAAGAGAAAGCGTTTGAAATTGGGATCAAGACCGCGTTCCAGGGCTTCGTTGCGGGAAGAAACCAGAGTGAACAATTGAAGGAACATTTAGCTATACCTCTGCAGAAAAAGCAGGAACAGCAGCAGCAGGAGAGGAGGACCAGTCTGATGATCTTCAAAAAAGGATCAACGACATCCTTTCTCAGTTCCAATGATGAAGGAAACGAAGAAGGGGAGGAGGAGATTAGAGCTTCTCGGATCACACAGCGATCGTCGGAGGCGCATACTGAAGTAGCAGCTTTGCTTTGCCTAAATTGTTTCAGATTCCATTCGAACTTCGAGATGTAAGTGTAGCCTGTAATAGCTCCTGATTTTTTGAGACGGCCATAGATGCATTTCTCCCTTCCACTGTTCTATTCTGCTTTAAAGGAAATTACACCTTGGGGCTAATAGGATTTAATCTAAATTGAATTAAGCTTGATATATTTTAAATTGATTGAAGTAAATCTTAACTTAATTCGATTTAGGTTTAAATAAATTGAATTAAATAAAAAAAATTTATAACACCAAATAATACTAATTATTTTAAATACACTGCTTTTATAAATATACTTATTTTAATGCCAAAATAAATTATTAAAAAATACTTTTACTTTACTCTGGATATATCTAACCAAACAAGAGAAACAATTATCTTGCGTTTATTTTGCAGAGAACCAAACATGCTCAATGTATTCAAAATGCATTACATTTACTTTACATTGTATTTACTTTACACTGTATTTCTTTTCCATGCAACCAAATTTACATTTAGAGAATTTTGCAATCATTTAGTAAGTACATTCAGCCAACATTTTGTTGATAGACTCATGCAACTCCAACTTAATCAGCTCCTGGTATTACCTCCATTATGTCAGAATGTTTCCCTGGTGCATAAGCTCCTCACCAAGTGGGACATCTGGAAGCAATGTTTTGTTATCAAAGGAAAGAGGCTACCATTCACTTCAGATGAGGTTGCCCTTATGCTTGGACTGCCCAATCGAGGAGTTAAATTTGTGCCGGGAAGTGTTAGATTAAGTGAAAAAATAGCCAATGACATCAGGCGTGAGATTTAAAGTCAGGATGTCTCTACTCCGCCAGAAGATCTTGCGAAGAAATTCATATTATACTTACTATCAAACCTTTTTTTTTCCAATGGTGAACTTCAGGATACTTGTTGCAATCCTTAATGTTGCTGACAATGTTGATGATTTTTTAACTTACAACTGGCCAGCATCCATTAGGGAATTCCTAGTGACTGAATTCAATGGCATCACCAAGAAGAATTCCAAAGACAGCCCACTAAGTTACATAAATGGATTTGCAATCATTGTAATTCTGAGTAAATCTGTCATGTAGATTCATTTTGTTACTGCAAAACCACATTCAATTTAGTAGATTAACTTGTTATTCTTAAAATATGTATATTTGATTTCTAGAGCATACAAGTATCCACGATCTAGTGGATGACATATCCCGACCTCGTTTTGTTCGTTGGGACAGCCACATTATGTACAATGAAAAGGAGGTGACCAAATTATTTGCATGTCTACGCAAACGTCAGGTAACGATTCAAGATGTAGTGGTACTCATTTCATATTGAGCTTGACCTAACAAAAAATATGCTGCAGATTGTCCGTAAATTTGAAAGAGTCACAGAAGTAGAGAGAACGTTATTAGAGAGTTCTCACATTCTTTCTCCACAGAAAATTTCAACTCCACCTAATCTAAACAATTGAATTAATGAATTCATGTCCCCATTCTTAATCTTGGCTCTTCTCTCTTTTTGAATGTAATTATATGCATCCCTCTTTTTGAACCCCAAATTTCCTGCACCTCCCACTTCATAAGATAGGTATGTAAATGTATCAACTGTTCTTATCTCAGCTTCTCATATTGATTTAAGAACAGATGCTTTCACATCACTAATGTGCCTACATGATTTAAGCAAATGTTGATCTTCTGGCCTAGCTAATTCGTGATTGTGACTTTCAATCGTTTTTGCACCATCCAAACTCCATCTTCAATCACTGCAAATCTAATCATAGCTGGACGCCAGGTTCTTGTGTTTGATTTTCGATATTTTGACTTTACATTTAAGTCAATTTCCTTCTTGAATCCTGCTTTCGAACATACAAAGTCCTTTGATTTTATTTTCCTAGAACTAGGCTAGTAAGAATGATGTTTTTTTCGAACACTAAAATCATGACAATGAGCATAATCATAATACATATTATATGCTTCATTCTCATAATTATAAACACCCTGTACACATGACAAACATATTTAACATGATGATATAAACGTAGCGGTACAAAAAATTAAATGTACAAAGCAAAACCTATTATGTACCAAGATTAGGTATCGAGTATCAATACCGAGACACTGTGCCGGGTAGTGGTACCGAGTCTCAATACCAAGAAACTGTGTCGTGTAGCGGTACCGAGAATCAATACCTAGAAACTATACCAGGTAGCAGTCTCGGTACTATGATCGGTACTCGGTACTATAATCAGTAACGATTCTTGGTACTACGATGGCATCCGCAAAATGGTACTGCTCGAAAGGTGGTATTGCTCGATATCGAGGTGTAGCAGTAATCAGTCCTGGAAGCTTCAAACATAAGTAGATAGAGCAACAAAGAAGAGGTGCACACATAGTTAAAATATCAAATGATAAATTCTAAAACCTCTTTAGTTAAGAAATTACCGATAATAATTTAGACTTATCTCCCATACATCGCCTCGGAGTCTTCATCAACATTTTGGGTCTTTACCATCTCCTCGAACTCTTCGATGTCATCAAAAGAGAATTCCATTTTCATATCCTGTTCCTCGCTAATTCTTTCTTAGCACTCTTATGTGGTGAAATCCTGTCTCACATCTCAAAAATAGTCCGCTAAAACTCATAAAACCTAAAAAAGGCTGGACTTTTAAATTTTCGAGTACTATCCGGGTCGGGTCGTCGTGCCGCGCGGAAATTAAAAACACACGTGCGTCATTTTGACTTCTCGGCAAGGTCGCTAAGTGGCGTCATATAACTGGCGTCCGAACGTAGAGCTATGTCCGGTGTCCGCACTCAATAAAAATTCCTAGGCAACAGTTCAAAAACGACAAGTGAAACTGCAGTCGAGACGATTGGGTTAGATCGAGATCGGATGGCTGTGAGTAGTTGAGCTACCATTCCAAGCGATGCCCTAATAATCCAGATAGAGGTCATATATATTATTGGGAAAAGCTACCTCCTTTACACAAGCTTGGCCTCTGCTCGCTCGTCTCCTTCTTGAGCCTGAGATCGGAAGCCTAGCAGTGTTTCAACGTAAATGGTACGATCCATTGATTGTCTATGATGTTTTTTCAGTCATCTCTAACGCATCCATGTTGTAAAGCGATTCTGTTGTTCCTTATGAAATATATATAGCAATTATTGAATGATTTTTTTTTTGTTATTATTCTTCCAGGTTCTTTTGCAGCCGGACCCTTTTCTTAATGAGCTGACTAACATGTATGAGAGGACCAAAGAGAAGGGCTCTGTTTGGGTTACTTTTAAGCGATGTCTGTCTTTCTCTTTCTTTTACTTTTAGCTGAAATATCATTTTAGTTTATACTGTAAGCACCGTTGTTTCTTGTGAAAACTAATATCTTAATTCTTCAATAATGGTTTAGCTTCTATGAAATCCAAGGCCAAGAGGAAGAAGATGGAGTCTGCTGGTGAAGTCATTGAGTACAGGTGTCTTGTTCGTGCTACTGATGCAAAGAAAACCATCTCTACTTCGGTATTCTACTTCCATTTATTATGTGCTATAATTATTATTCTTTAGGGTTTTATTGGTCTTTTCTTGTCCTTGCCAGCATGTTCTGAACTATATCTTTGTATTTACTTACTACGCTTATGCATTTATATGTATATCAATAGATTATGTTTATATGCATGCATAAATGTAATATTTATGGATGCATCATGGATGGATGGATTAATTAGGGGTATTGGAAAATCATGAGTTTAATGGAAGAGATTATTATGTTTAAAATTTGTAATTAGGTTTAATCGGTTTCCTCCTTTTAGTCTGAGCATATGCACTTTGTTTTTATTTATGTGACACTTAACTTAAAACTTCCTTCCCAATAATTTTTCAAGTTCCAACCAAGCTTTTGTGACCGAGATTATATATTTATCTTACTAGTTAATTGCACATGCATAATTTTTCATTCTTAAAATTTAAAAGATCAATAACATGATAAATACATTAATTTTACATGTATCCTTGTGGAGAAAAAGTATTCAAGGATGCATGTAGCTGACCCATGTAGTGGAATAAATTTGTATTGCTATTGTTGATGTTGTATATTGTTGTAATAAGGAGATTTATTTTATAATTTTCAACACAACAACAACATTAAGCCTTTATCCCACGATGTGGGGTCGGCGACATGAATCCTTTTTCTCCATTGTGCCATGTTAAAAGTTAAATTCTCATTTAAATCTAATAAAGAAATGTCATTTCTAATATTTTTTAACCAAGTCTTTTTAAGTCTACATCTCCCCTTCTTAACAAAAGTCAAATCTAATACCTCTACTTTCCTAACTGGGTCATCGGAAGGCCGCCGTTTTATGTGACCAAACCATCTAAGGCGACTCTCTCTAATCTTATCTTCCACCGGAGCTACTCCAACCTTTTCACATATATGCTCATTTCGTATCCTGTCTATAGGAGTAAAGTCACTCATCCGCTTGAGCATCCTCATCTCTGAAACACTTAACTTAATATTATGCTTCTCTTTTAATGACCAACATTCGACACCAAAAAACATTGCAGGTCTAACCATCATCTTATAGAATTTCCCTTAAGTTTGAGGGGGACTTTTCTATCACACAACAAGCCCGATGCATTCCTCCACTTCAACCATCCAACTTGAATTCTACTTAATAATCCTCATCTATTTTCACCATCACTCTGAACAATTAGACTCACAGATATCTAAAACATATCCTATATTAATGACTTGATCACCCAAAGTTACAATCCCCCACTAGAACTATTATTACTAAATTACATTCTATTATATTCAGTTTTAGATAACTTCAAAACGAAAACCTTTAGGGTGAGGACATCGGAAACAACGGCTACGATCGTGTTACTTATCTTGAATGTATTTATTGTTATTTGTTAATTTTCCCTTTCTCCCACTCACTTGGGAGTTTTGTTCTTATATGCCCTAGGGGCCAATTAGTCTTGATGTTCCTTCTGTATTCGGCATTAAGCTTTCCCCTTCCTTTGGAAAGGAGATTATTGTAATGAAAATTTCATATTTTTGTTGATCTTTAGTGAGTTTCACTGTGATCTCTTGTGAGTTCGTGAGAGGGAAAGCCGAGGAGGTAATTCGCAATACCCGCAATCTTTGAAAGAATTCGAGGTTCGCAAGGTCTCTTACGATCCTTGTGACGTCGTTAGTTATCTCTATTTCTTTCGTTTATGTCTTGTTCTCCATCTTTTTCCACTCTTCATCCACAAAGTATTCCCCTAGCTCTCATTGCGCCGCCTCTTGGAGTCACCCGCCGGCCACCCTACGCCGGCCGGCCCCTTTGCCGGCACGCTCCCAACCGTCCACTCCTCCCCGATGCTCCAAATTGAAATTGAATCTCGGAATTCAAATTCTTTTCTAAATTGGGAAATCCATATTAGGAAAGTTTTATTTGATAAATTCAATTTCAAATTAAAGTAAATTGGAGTTCTCATAACTACTCCCGTCATCACCCACTCTTGTTCTTCAAATTTTCAAAAAATTCAAATTTTGAAGAGCCCACAAATTTCCATAATTGCCAAGTCCAAAGTAAGGAAAAGAAATTGGATTGAATCCAATCAAATTTCTAGGCATGAGGAGTTACTAATTCTCATCCTGGTGGCATCCTCCTAAATCGAAATTGATTATATACAACTAATCTCCCCCTCTCTTCTCTCCATGCCGCCGCCTATCAAGGGGGAATCCATTTAATGCTAGTTTAATCCATTCAATGCCTTGATCCAAAAATTCAATATTTGCAAAATAACCCCCTTAATTTCATTCATAATCTGAAATTAATTTCAGAAATGAAATGAAACTCCCATCCCCTCTCTTGAAACCGTCGCCTCCCCAATTGAGCTCCCATTAATTCCCAACTTAAGGCCTTAACTCCATTTGATTTTGAATTTCTCAAATCAAATAATCCTCCTAACGAATCAAAATCTTGAAATTAATTCAGATTTGATTATCATTCATTCACCTCACTTACATAATACCTCTCAATCTCTGCCTTAGCCGAACTAAGCCAACCAGCAGCCGCTCACGGCTACCCAAACCTAGCCGCGCTCTCTCAGGCTCCTCTTCGATTTTCCCCTCTCCCCCCCAAATGTCTATTGTTGTAACGTGCACTTAGAGGAAGGTTGAAACTATTGTTCTGAAGCCCCTTGCACCAGATTTCTTACCTTTGGAGAGCTCCTAACTGCTGTACAAGGATTACGGCTGCAAGACCTTGCTGTCCTGCAGTCCAGACAGGTTTCCAAAGTCAAAACAATTGCTGCCCAAGGATTACTGCAGTCCCGGAAAATCCCTGCAGCCACCAACTGCTGTCCACGTTTGTGAGGAAAGTTAATCTCGGCGAAGTGCGAGGAGGTTCGTGGTTGCTGCCCTCTTCATTCCCAACTACCATACTACCTTGCCGGAGCGCGTATCTCTCTTGCCTTTGGGTAAAATCGACACTCGACTCTCTATCTTCATAGTTGCATCCTTGAATGTGAATTTATTATCTTCACGAAGATCATGTCAATTATTCGCCGCTAGAACCTAGTAATAGGAAGAGTTGTGTGAGGGACCTTTCATAGACTAATCTTAGTGTTAGTATTGGAATTTATTGTTGGAACGATCCATGTATGCAATGTCGGATTAAGTTGGCGCTATCGTTTTGAACTTAACTTTTATTCATGTAATTTAACTTAAGCTAAGTGCCTTTTAATATTTATCTTATCGTTCAATTCCGCATAAGAACTTGCCTATTATGGCCTCTAAATCTAAGCGTGCAAACTTTCATTAAGAAAATCATTTTCGCATGGGATTGTTTCACATCATTTAGACTCTAAGGTTGACCTCTATAATTCAAGTTTACCTTCAACTCCATCTCTAGTCCAATCAACAAGAAGAATATCATCAGCAAAAAACATACACCAGGGTACCACCTCTTGCAAATGTCTAGTGAGAACATCCATAACTAAAGCAAAAAAGATTAGTGGCCAATTATAAAATATCATTTTATAATTTTATCATCACAAATATTTTTACGAAGAATTAGATTAGCGCCAACTTGAGAAATATTTTTGGAAACATATTATATCAACGTGAAGTTAGAAATCAAACCACTTTATTTTGACTTCAATAACACTTAATTATTTTAGCGAATAGAGTTTAGCCTTAAATAAAGAATGAAGAAAATAGAGTGAACAATGGGTAGCCTTAGATTACAAATAAAATATATTTCTAGAATTAAACTATATCATATTAGCAAATCAAGTGATAAGGAATGAAGAAAAGAGAGTAAGCAATAAATTATTTCCGAATTTAGAATGATGTGGCTGGCAAAAATGAATGATTGCTTCGCATGATAATAACCCACTTTATTATCTTAACAAATAAGGTTATTGATAACATATGGTTAACAGAAGATGAATAACTATTATGAAGTGCTCAGTTGATTTTTTTTAGATTTTATATTATGGTTTTTAATTTCAGATGCATACCTAATAGGAAGTATTCATATCAATGGTTTCATGAACTCTGCTTAGGTGTCACTCAGTGTGTTCCCCATAGGATCATAGGAAGGGATGGTTTTAAAATATAAATTCTGTTTGACCAGTGAGTTCTTTTAGAAACATAAACTTACAACACTTATTACCTTCACCTCCAAGATTTGAAGCTCATATGCAACCACAAATAAATGCATGAAATCAGAAGGATATGGACCATAAAGCACACATAGTAATAAAAATATAAAATACATCATTGCTCAATTGCAAGTAAACACTAACACGTTCGCGCATGTCACCTTGTTTTCTTATAGAAACGGCACAATGCCTTATTGTTGTGTCCTGTCAATGAATATTTATTAATGCTATTATATTAGTAATGCAAATAAAAATAAAATATAAAAAACTGATTGAGGCTTCATTTGGAATATTTATTAATGCTATTATATTAGTAATGTAAATACCACTGAATGATTTACACAATTTTTTTAATATAAAATTTTTAATTTTTATATTAAAAATGTTGCTTTAAGAAGCAATAAGAAGGTCGTCACAAACGAAGCTTGAATTGCATAGATGTATAAATAAGTAAAGTTGTTCTAACAACCGACATTTAAAAAAAAAATACAATGAAACCCAATGAGCTTATTGCATTAGTAGTGTAGTTCGTATGAAAATCATATCTAGGAACATTGAAACCGGTTTATAGAGCGTAAGCTTGTAAGAAAAATCATAAGAGAAACCAGAAGGATGGCACAAGAATCTGTGTTTCTCATCAAAATTTGGAGGTCATTTTCGCTAAATTGGAGACTGTTTTCACTGTAATTGTGTAATTCCATAGATTTCTCTTAAGAATATGGTGTTTGTTCACAACCTCCAATGTTTGTCCTCTTCTGGAAAAGACTTGGAAGGGCTCAGAATAGCGTTCTACCTGCCTCAAGTCTCATTTTTAACTCCATTCGTTAGATGTAGCCATTTAACACTGGCAATTCTTCTTAGTTTAGAGCAGACGATTTGACATCAAAATTGTTTGCGATTTGACACTAAAGAATTTTGAAAGTTACACACTGGATGATTAGGTTTAAGTAAACTTTTAACAATATATGGAGAAAGTATCTACAGGGAAAATAGAAAGGTTTTCATGCTATTAATAACAACACCACAAGATGCAGAGAACAGTGTTTGGTGCAAACGTTTAACCATCAGCCACAATAGGATACATTCAAGGACACTGGGTAATTCAAGAAATGATTCATCATGGCTATTTCACCGACAAGATAGTCTCAGAGAATTAGTGATGATAAATATACAAAGAAAGCAAGCTAATTTGCATTTGATTTAACGAACATGATTGTAGCCGTTCTACTATTATAGTCCCCCTTTGCTATGATTAATGTATTTTTTAAAAATAAATTAATGTCTATTGTAATATGGAGTTTGCAAGTTCGAGTTACAGTCCTGTTGGAAAATTTAGTAGCAAAATTGTGTAAATCATTCAGTGGTGTTAGGGTCAAGTGAATTTAAGCCTATTGGTTAGCTCGGTTGGACTAAATTGGATAAATGGCTCATAATTCGAGCTTTTATGTTGATGAACCAAGCTTAAGCCAACTTGACTTATTTAAAAAATATTAATGTAAAATCTATTTAAAATATGCTATAATTCAAGGTTTAAGTACATAGTTATTATAGATATTTAGATTTTTTTTATTTGAACCATCTTCTTATTATTTATCTTCAATTTCTTGTTCTATTTATCAGCCTACTATAATTATTTGAATTAAACTCGATGAATTTGCAAACTCCAGCTCAAGCCAAATGAGTCGAGCTTGACTAAACATATTTTTAAAAGTGCTCAACATATTTAGGTCCGTGATTGGTGTGACCTCTATGGCACACTCTTCTTTAGATTTTGTGCTATGTTATAGATGCTAGGAGGGTTGTAGATTGCTGCCATATTGTGTCGGACTCTCAGATATGTTGTTGGCAAGTAACCTAACATCATTAAGGTTTCCTTTGAGACGGCTTTCTTAATGTTTTTAAATCAATTTTTAAGTATAAAAATTTCTTGTACTAGAAAATTTTATACCAAAAAGTCATTTTAGAAAGCATTAAGGTTTCGTTTGGGATGACTTTCTTACTGCTTCTTAAAATAGTTTTTTAATACAAGTATCAAAATTTTTTATCTAAAAAGGTTCTTTAAGAAGCAATAAAAAAGCCATCCCAAATGAAGCCTAAGCTCTCCCAAACGAAACCTAAATCTTGTTGATGCTATTGATAGCTCCCTACTTAAAAGAAAAAAGCCTACATTGAATTGCAATCTTAGTTTACGCATCAATTTCATTTCTCATCACTCTAGTCCTAATTTTTTATTTCTGTCAGCTCTCTGCAAAGGATTACCTTCGATTCCAAGCCTCATATGCGACTGTCCTGAAAGCACATATGAATGCTTTAAAGAAAAGGGAAAGGAAAGACAAGAAGAAGAGTGCCGAAGGAGAAAAGAAACCAGCAGATCAGAGCAAGTAAGCTTCTAAGCCCAATGCATGAATGTTATTGAAGGGGCTTGATAAAATGGTTTCAGGACAAAGAACAATATGTTTTCAGAATAATTAGTCTCTCTTTATCTAACTCTATGAGTGTGGCAGTTGTTCCTTTTTGCACAATACAACAGTAGCTCAAAACTCCACATCTTTTTGAACGTGTTTGGTTTAAAGTTAACTCTTTGGATCTTCGGATCTTGTTGGGTTATTTCTTCGAACTTTTGCAATTTGGGTGTTTATTTAGGATAAAAATTAGGTTAGGATATCTGAATCCCGAGACAATTTGTGCTAAGGATGGATAAGTTATTTGAAGGCATGCTGATACGAAAGCTTTGGTGGAAATTTAGCAATGTTAGCTGCGGCCCTTACTATGAAAGCTTTTCGTAAGAGTAAGGATTTGTTTGGGATGATTTTTTTGCTGTTTTTTTAAACAACTTTTTTGTGTTAAAAATTAAACTGCTTTAAGAAGAAGTAAGAAATCCGTTCTAAACGGAGCTTAAGTAATAGATAAGATTTTTATCTTATATTTGGATTGGAGGTCAGCTCAAAATAAATAATTTGTTTTTCTATTTAAATGTGATTTTAATGTGTATTAAGTATTTTATTTCAAGATGGAACGATTTGTTTGACTCAGTGAATTTTTTTAATATGTTACAATCTTTGTACATAAATATAAACAAATTTAATTAAAACCTTACCATACATCTTGTTTTGAAAATAGCTTTATTTATATGTTCTATATAAAGTTAATTGCTTCTGTCACCAAAGATTGGAATGTGCATTCGATTGGTTCATATAAATTAGCAGTTGAATTTGTTAAACTAGCTAAACTAAGATTTTGTTTGGAATAATTTTTTTATTGTCTTTCTAAAATAGTTTTTTTAGTACAGAAAATTTTTGTACCTGATTTTAAAAACAATAAAAAAACTATCCCAAATGAAGGCTAAATCAAACTATAAATGAAATTGAATCTATTAAATCATAAACAAAATTGATCATAATTAATTAAAGGACCAAATTGTCTCCATATATTATATGCTTATAGTCCAATCAAGTAGCTCGATGATATGAATCAAAGAGCTTAAGATCATTTGATTTTAAAATTATTAAGACATTTAAATGTTGGATGAATGATATAACTTAAATGTTGGATGAATGATATATGATTAAGGGGATCAATATAAATCATTCAATGTCGTGTTTTGAATTTTAGTTAAATTTATCATAACATTCCTTTTAAAAAGATTACATGTAGAGCTTGATTTTCTAAATGAATGAGGTTGGAACTACAACAGCTAGAGAAATCTATTGTATCGGAGGAACGGTAATTGGGTGATGATGGTCGGAGAGGTTGTAGTTGGGGGACAATAATTTTAGGAGGGATTGTAGTCGGGTGACAAAGGTCAGAGGGATCATAATCGGGCAATGATGATTGAAGGGACCATAGCCTGATGATAGTGGTCGGAGGGACGGTGGTCGATGAGTGATAAAGGTTGGAAGGACTAAAAGTCGGGGGACAGTGGTTGGCAAGACCGTAGTGGACAGGCGACAGAAGTCAGAAGGACTATAAACGGTAAGAGAAGAAGGTTGTGCGAAGAGTTGACGGTGATGGATGGACAAATGTTCGACAAAGATGGTCAAACATAGGTCAAGTAATGGTGGTCAAACTGTGAGGGTTTGTTGGTGATGATGTTGGGGTGGAGCTTTAGGATTTTGTAGCCTCATAATTTTCTTAAATCTCTAGCCCATTATCCATGCTTCTCCAAAAGTCTCTCCCCCTCATGTGAAAAATAAAATTCTATTTATAATTATTTTGAAGTTGCATGTCCTGTAAATATGAAAAAAATCAGAGATAAATTTAGAGTGCTCCATCAGAAGGCCCATACTGATTCCCTTCATCATGGAACATTTATCAAGCATTTAAGTGCCTTAATAAAGAATTAAGTGATCTTAGGTTTGTTGGATTTGTCTTGTCGAGCCGCTTTATTCGACTATAAACATGCCATATTTGAATATCATTTAGTTACCCAATTGATGCTATGAAACTTTTAAATATACTTGAAACACATGATTTGAGGCTTTTGAGCTCATTTGGACTGATTTTAGTGTAATCAGGCAACGGTGGTAAGAGGGACTGTAGTTGGTGGGCGACAAAGTACTACGTAGGCCCGATGATGGTGGCATGATGGAGTTCCGTCGGTGATGGCCATATAGAAATCCAATAACGATGGCCAGGTGGCGAGGGTTCACTGGCGATGGTGTTGAGCTGGAGCTCTATGATTCTTTAAGCCTTAGAGTTCTCTTAAGTTCTTAGCCCATGGTTTGAGCCTTCTCCCCCAAAAGTCCCCCTCATGTGGGAAAAGGAAGTCTATTTATAGATATGGAGAGCATCAGCCCCGTAAATATGAAGAACATTTGCAACAAGTTTAGAACGTTCCATTGAATTGCCCATATTGATTCTCTCAATCATGAAGTATTTATTTAGCATGTAAGCGCCTTAATGATATTTTTGTTATTTTAAGCAAGTTGGAATGGTTTCGTTGAGCTGCTTGATTTGATTGTAAGCATACTATATTTGGATATCATTTGGTTATCCCGTTAACGCTTTAAAGCTTTCAAACATGCTTTAAGCCATTGATTTGAGCTCATTTGGATTTGAATTGGATCGATTTTGACCTCCTTGGGTTCGTCTGGCTGAGAAGTTCAATTTGGCTTTAAGTTTGTTGAAGGAGTTCGGATAGTCCCTAATTTAAATTTTGAAGTATTCAATTCAGACATGATTCGAGATTCGTGCATGATCCAGACAATTTTTAATGACATATCAAGTCCGTACTCCTATACCTTTAACACATATATGTGAAGATTGGCTATGAGATCTCGTGGCAGAGGACACCAATGTGGGCGAGCCAATGTTTGCATAAAGAAAATAACGATGAGAACTCACTACTGAAGGCCATCCACAAGACCAGCTATTTGTGTTGTCCTGAAATGATTGAAATCTTTAATGACCAACAAGGGGAAGTCATGACAAGATTTTGTTAATAAATAAGTGACATGACTGATGGCGGTGCATCTCATTCTCCCATCAATGAAGAAAAGTTTGATGTAGGTTTTATTTGGGACTGATACGTCATCACAAAATTAGCTTGATCGGGCACGAATCTCGTGGCAAAAGCTAGTTGGAGACTTCAAAAATTAAATCCGGGAGCATCCGAACTCCGATTTCAACGAGCTTACAGTCAAACTGAGCGTCTCGGAAATACGAACCCAACGACACCAAGATCGACCCAATCCGAGCCCAAATGAGTCCGAATCAAGGGTTCAAAGCACTATACATGAAGTTGAACCCATTAAATCATCGATAGAACAAGACAAAGCTGAACATTAATATAATTAATTGAAGGACCAAATAGACTCCAAATATTATATGCTTATAGTCAAGTCAAGTAGCTCGACTAGATGGATCAAAGAACTTAAGATCTTTTGATTTTAAAATTATTAAGACACTTAAATGTTGAATGAATGATATATGATTAAGGGGATCAATATAAATTATTTAATATAATGTTTTGAATTTTAGCTAAATTTACCATAGCATTCTTTTTAAAAAGATTACATGCGGAGCTTGATTTTCTAAATGAATGAGGTTGAAACTACATCAACTAGAGAAATCTATTGTATTAGAGGAACATAATTGGACGACGGTGGTTGGAGAGACTGTAGTCTGCAGACAACAGATGTCGGAGGGATTGTAGTCAGGTGATAGAGGTCAAAGGGAGCATAATTGGATAATGATGGTCGAAGGGACCATAGTCTGACGACGGTGGTTGGAGGAACGGTGGTAGTGAGTGATAAAGGTATGAAGGACCTTAAGTCGGGGGACAGTGGTTGGCAAGATCATAGTGGACGGGTGATAGAAGTCAGAAAGACTATAACCGGCAAGAGATGAAGGTTGTGCGGAGAGTTGAAGGTGACGGCTGGACAAATGTTCGACAACGATGGTCAGACATATGTTAAGTAATGGCAGTCGAACTACGAGGGTTTGCCGGCGATGATGCTTGGGTGGAGCTTTAGGATTCTTCGAGCCTCATAGCTTTCTTAAATCTCTAACCCATGGTACATGCCTTCTCCAAAAGTCTCTCCCCCCATATGAAGAATAAAAGTCTATTTATAAGTATTTTGAAGTTGCATGTCCTGTAAATATGAAAAAAAAATTAGGTATAAATTCATAGTGTTCCATCAGACGACCCATACTGATTCCCTTAATCATTGAGCATTATCAAGTATTTAAATGCCTTAATAAAGAATTAAATGATTTTAGGTTTTTTGGATTTGTCTCTTCGAGCCGCTCTATTTGACTCTAAACATATCATATTTGAATATCATTTGGTTACCTAATTGATGTTATGTAATTTTTAAATATACTTTAAACACATGATTTGAGCTCATTTGGACTTATTTTAGTGTAACCGGACAACGGTGGTCAGAGAGACTGTAATTGGTGGGCAACGAAGTTCTACATAGGCTCGATGATGGTGGCCTGATAGAGGTCTGTCGGTGATGGTAAGACAGAAGTCCAGTAACGACGCCTGGGTTGTGGGAAAATGTAGTCTATTTATAAATATGGACAACAACAGCCTCGTAAATATGAAGAAGAGTTGCGACAAATTTAGAATGTTCCATCGAACTGCCCATATTGATTCTTTCAATCATGAAGTATTTGTTTAGCATGTAAGTTCATTAATGATGTTTTAGTTATTTTAAGCTAGCTAGAATAGTTTCGTTTATACGCTCGATTTGATTGTAAGCATACTATATTTGGATATCATTTGGTTATATAGTTAATGCTTTAAAGCTTTCAAACATGATTTAAGCCATTAATTTGAGCTCATTTGGGTTTGAATTGGATCGATTTTGATCTCCTTGGATTCGTATGGCTGAGAAGTTCAATTTGGCTTTAAGTTTGTTGAAGGAGTTCGGATAGTCCCTAATTTAAATTTTGAAGTATTCAATTCAGATATGATTTGAGATTCATGCCTGATCCAAGCAATTTTCAATGACATATCTAAGTCCGTACTCCTATACCTTTAACACATGTATGTGAAGATTGGCTACAAGATCTCATGGCAAAGGACACCAATGTGGGAGAGTCGTTATTTGCATAAAGGAAATTACGATAAGAACTCACTACGGAAGGCCATCCACAAGACCAACTACTTGTGCTGTCATGAAATCCTTAATGACCAACATGGGGAAGTCATGACAAGATTTTGTTAATAAATAAGTGACAGGACCAATGACACTGCATCTCATTCTCTCATTGATGAAGAAAAGTTTGATGTAGGCTTTATTTGGGATGACTTTTATATTGCTTTTATACTGCAAAGCTCTTTAAAAAATAAAAAGAAAGTCATCCCAAACGAAGCCTAGTCTCAATGGAGAAAAGCATTGTTAATGAAGAAGTTAACCATAAGTAGGGGTGTCAATTTCGGGTCACGGGTCGGGTTCGGGTCGAACCCGAAACTGACCCGGCACTATTCGGGTCAACCCGAACCAGACCCGTTTTTAAAAACGGGTCGGTTTCCTTGACCCGAACCCGACCCGCTTCGGGTCCGGGTCAACCCGACCCGACCCGAATGACCCATTTTCAACCAAAAAATTGCTAATTTTCGGGTCAAAAACGGGTCAATCTCCTCTTTTCGGGTCAAAATCGGGTCAAAGTCGTGTCAATCTCGGGTTGGCGGGTCAAAATCGGGTTTTCGGGTCACTTTCGGGTCAAAGGGTTAACCCGAACCTGACCCGATTTTTGAAACGGGTCGAAATGTTGAACCCGAACCCGACCCGTTTCGGGTTCGGGTTGAACCTAACCTGAAATTTTCGAGTCGGGTTCGAGTCGGGTTTTCGTGTCGTGTCAAATATTGACACCCCTAACCATAAGTGTAGAAATTGATATTTTTGATATCATTTTAAGAAAAGTAGATATCAAAATATTAAATATTAAATATGTGGATAAGTTTTTTTTTGGGTGTGATTTGTATGTAAATCTCATTTAAAAATAATAGTCATTTTAATATTTTATTAATAAAATGAAAAGCAAGAATTAAGAATGAAGGATAGTACGAACGACTTTGTAATAATAGAATTATTAATGGTATAGTTTTCAATCATTTGTTTTATGATAAAGTTAAGAAATTATTAAATAAGGAAAATTTCTGTCTTACGTCCGTAAATATCTTTTAAATTTTAAGTAATAATACCCGGAGGATTTTAATCCTGTTGCACTACAAGTTACTAAAATACCCCTAATCAACACTGCTATAAATAGTGGTGGGTACTGATTGGGAAGTGGGTTTGATGGGAAAGTGGGTTTATGTGGTACTGCTATAAATAGTGGTTGTGTAGAAAAAAGCGAACACCGCTTACATTCCCCTTTTTTTCTCATCTGAGTTCAAACTTTCAATCTCCGAAGCTGTTATATGGCAGCGGTCAGTTCGAAGGGGCGAGCGATCAGCGGAAGCTTCGGGAAGAGACTCATTAACCAGATATCAACCACGAAGCATTGCGATACTGGCCTGCTCCTGATCTCGAGGTACTGATTTCTTTAGAGGTCCCTGAGGGCTGATTCCGATCTTGTTTTTCCGGTATTTTTTCTGAAATCTTTGTCGATCTTAGTAGTTTGTGTGCGTAGGGCTTTTTTTAAAGTTTTTCCTGCTCGATCTAGTGATCTTATAGACGAATCTGTGCTTCTTGTTGAACCCCAACCTGACTTTTGGGGTATAGCGTTTCAGTGATGATGAAGAGTCGAAGTGCTTTTGATCGGATTTTCTTTAGGGGCATTTGGGCTGAACATCTCAATTTACCCGATCGCTGTTCTTCCCTCAGCAAATCTATCGTGGTGGTGATTTTGATCGGAGTTTTTTTAGGACATTTGATCTGACGCAGTCAGTTATTGCGCCTTTTTTGGATCTTCGAGTAGAATACTCTCACGCGAAATTAGACGATTACTGTTCCTCCATCCGCAAATTTCTTGAGCTATTAGATATTTTTCCTCACATTGTGCTACATAATTTGTGTCTAAAATTCGAAGGAATCCCCATACTTCCTAGAAATTTGTCTATAGCGCGTTCTCAAGGGCATTTGCATTGAGTCTAATCTTCGAGCTGAATCCTAGAAGCTTTAACCTTCCTTTTGAGATGTTTCAGCTTTTCATTCATGATGAAAGGACGAAGTGCTTTTGACTTCAAAATTTTCTTTCGGGGATCGGTATGCGCCTATTTTGAACCTATAAGAATGAAATTCCCAAGAAAAACTATTAGGTTACTGGTTTTTCATCGCGAATTTCTTGATGTTCTGCTTCTCATTTCCTTCCCTCACTGCGCCATGCACCATGACTTTCGTCTAAAATTTAAGGCCAAAATATCATCGTGACTCGAGGGCATTTGAGTCCTTATCTTGTCTGGTAGAGTGGTTCTCACGTTCGTCGCCAATCCTAAAAAATAACGAATAAATAGCTGTTATTATCCAATTACGGGCTGAGTTAATCCCAACCTTCCTTTTAGAATATTTAATTTATCAATGATGATGAACGATGGAAGCGCTTTTGTCTGGGATATTTTCTTTGAGGGGAGGGGGCATTTATGCTGAGCTACTCACTTTTACACGCCGTTTTCCGTTTTCCGTTTTCGGATCTGTAAGAAGAAAATTATCAAGAAAAACTAAGCGGTTACTGGTTTTCAATCTGCAAATTTCTGGAGTTTTGCTTCTCATCCTTTTCTCTGTTCTCCATGGTTTTTGTCTAAAATTTAAACGTTACAAAATTTTGCAGATATAATCGACTAGTTGAAAACATACCTCGTGGTCGATTGGGTCAATCGTCCGTAGCTAAACCTAGACCTGTCAATATTGGACCCGACCCGAAAAATTCGGGTTTGGGTTGACCCGAACCCGAAGCGGGTCGGGTTCGGGTCCGGAAAATCGACCCGTTTGCAAAACCGGGTCGGGTTCGGGTTGACCCGGCAACCCGAAAATGACCCGGAATGACCCTGAAATCGAACCTGCCCGCTCTACCCGAATCTGCCCGCCCGGCATAGTGCCGGGTCAATTTCGGGTTCGACCCGAACCCGACCCGTGACCCGAAATTGACAGGTCTAGCTAAACCCAAAAAACAATAAACAATAATTCTGCTATCATCCACGTTCAACATGCAATTCTCTCCTCTCTGGCTATTATGTTGAAATAAAAAATATATTTATAAACAGCAATAATGCTGGACTGCCAAATTCATACTCCGGAAAAACAAAAAATGATAGGTAGAATTTTAAGTATTTATATATGAAACACACTTCAGCATACGCCATGTAAAAATCCGCGATACAATATTTTGTATTGAAATTTTTTAGAATTAAATTCATAATAATTTGATTTTAGGCAAATTTATCAATATGCTGCACCCAAAATATTATAAATAGACACCTTCTGTGCATGAAAGGGGGCCTCAACTTTAAGTTCAAAAATAGTATAGAGATTTTAAAAACTCTAAAGTCTTATTTGATATTCGATGTCAATGAGCGCGCCAATTTCCGTCGTCCTCCAATTACCATCATCATGCCCCAACTATTTCACCAACAATCTCTATTATAGTTATAGAGCCAAATTTTGTAATCCCATTTTCTTCAGGTGTGCAGAAAATCGTGCTTCTATAATTACAAGCACATAGTGGATTATTTTAATCAGGTTAATCTCTATAATTTTTTCCTTGTTGAGTTTTTCATATAAAAATTATTATACATCTTGAATTTTTATTTTTTATGTTTGTGTAATGGATCTTTGGGCAAAACTATGTTATAGAACTATCTATCATCATGAATTAATTTTGTAGCACATAATTATTTGATAATGACGTCTATGGGAGAATTTTCCAGCATTCCACAAAATGCATCTAATGGCTGATAACTAATCAACATAATTCTGTTGGGGAGATGAGTAAACACCGCAATGAAGAAACAAACAAGAAAGTAAAAGCAGCAGAAATAAATGACACCATGATTTAACGTGGAAAAATTCAAAATAGGGAAAAAACTACGGAGCCACTCCACACCAAGAACTCCACTATGAAAATTGAGAAAAATAAGTACTGATCTCTTTTATCTCTCATTCTCTTATTGCTTATCTTCTCACATGCACCATTTTCAATGTATACACACAAAATACAAAAGAAAGTTAGTAAAATTACCCCAAGGGATGCGACCCTTAAAAAAAACAAGAAAGAAAACCATCAAGTCTGTCTTGCAGCCTGCGGCTCCAGTTTGGGGCACTGCGGCGCTTAAACCTCTATCTTGATCCGCTGTGGCGCTCTGCTCTCTGTCGTTTAATGTCGGGATGCAGCGCCGGGGTGTTGTGCGAAAAAAAAAATGGTGCAAATCACCCAAATTCAAGCAGGGGGTAAACCCCCGCACCTCCTAGCAAACACGATAAACTTGGAGGTCTGAGACAATAGAAAAACTAGATTGATCAACACAATCAGATACCACACATAACAAATCCACTCGATAAATGCTACTTTGGCTTAATTTTGGAGAGGATCATATATGTGCATGACAATGGAGTTTCAAGTCGAAATTCTTCACCTCTTAAAATAAATTGGATAACAAAGAGCTTTATCACATAATGAGTTTTATTTTTTTACCATAAAATCAACAACAAAATGGGGTTGAACTTGTTTGAAAATGCTCGTGCCGCTCCCTATCAAAGCATAGCCCAATCAAATTCTCTTGGATATTGCTAGTTCAACCCATTCTTCTATGCTACTCTATTGAGTCGTAATCTTTTAGCATCCTTGGAGGATTTAAATCCATATTTTCTTGTTGGCTCTTCTTGTAATGTTATAGGAGATGAGCTTTATTCATGAGAAATTTACTTTGACTATTTTTGATATAATTCTTGATTTTTTTATTCAAATGAGGTTTAAGTTGCTTGCAATTGATCCACATGATGAGACTTCATTCATTAAAGACATCTAGGTTGTTATTTATAATAACATGTTGATTGTCAATCTCGAAATCTTGGAGATTAGAAAATTTTGATGAGAAAAATATAGAAATTATTGAATAGGATTTGCCATATCTATTTTTACCCTCATATACATGAAGATTCCATTATCGAAGCAACTCAAAGAAGTGGAGTTGTTCATCTCATTAAAATTTATAAAAATAATTATATATTAATTTTTGTTTTAGATAAAAATTTATCTTTCAAGTAAAAATTTTATTTAATTTATAAATATTTTTTTAATAAATAACTTTACATCTTATAAAATATTTAAGGAGGTACGCTTACGATGTAATCTCAATAGAATGCTAGTAGTAAACACGTTCCTTTTCAGAAAGACTTTATGAGAGTATGTGGCAAGTATGATCTCCATTGGCATTTACAACCCTTGAAATGTATGTTCATGAGATAGCCTTTATGAAAAACTAATGAAGGAGAAGGTCCTCGTTGGAAGGAATTTATGAGATTAAGTGATCGATAATACTTTTTTTTATTCAAAATTTTCAAAAGAAAAAGTCTAAGAATGTATAGATGCATATAAAAATTTAAAAGCTAAAAATTTTAGATGATATAGGCATATTAAAAATTTTAGAAGGCATGAGCCTCATAAAAGTTTTTTTAAAAAAATCTTAGAATACATACACATTATGAAATATATGTTCCTCTAGTTTTTTAAAAATCTCATAAGATGTATAATTAAAAGGGTACCTATTTCTTTGATTATCTAGAAAACTTAGAAAGTCAAAGTTTCGTAAGATCGATGTATGCTAATAAGATAGATGTATGTCTTTGATGACAACCTCGATGCACCTATCAGGCTAATGATCTTGATTGATACATGACATCACAAAAAAAGTCAATACTCATTCTTACTAATAAGGCCAATGCATATTGTTAACAGCAATGTTGATGTATACTATTGCTAACAAATCAATTAATGTTAATGGCATCGACACCAACATTCATCATCACCAACAAGATCGATTCACACATTCAAAACTAAGTTTGATGCATCGATGCCAAATGAGGTAGATGTATGACGTTGATATCAACATCAATCCATGTCATTGTCAACAAGCCCGATACACACCATTGATATTAATGTCGATCTCTAACAGTAGCACCAACTCTCGACGTTCTGTTTTTATGCTTTTATTCTCTTATCTTACACCTTCAAAGAGGACAATAGAACAGACCACCAATAATTTTGAGAAAACACCTCCAACAACTAAAGCCTCTACCCACTCTTAGATTGGAAATTAGCATTCACAGTTCAGGTTTACTATAATATATCTTTTTTTTTTTATCTAGTTGTGAGGAGAAGATATATTTTTTTAATTTACGACGCACTCAAAATTCTTTTTTTCATTTGTCTTTATTTTTTTCTTGTTGAGCTTTCACATATTAAAAAAAAAAAATCATCCTTTGAGCAGCTCTTGATTTATTTTATTTATGCATGTGAGATTTTCATATAGTTCTAAAACAATAAATCCTATATTGCCACTAATATTCTAATACATAATCATAATTCTCTTATTTTCTTTACTCATGATATCTTTAATATATATTCTTAAATTTTGTAATATTTTGATGCTGATTTTATCTATTTTGATGGTCATGTTTTCTAGTATTTGTTACACCTTTTAATTGTTGGATGTCAAGAAAATCTATCTTTCGCGAACTATTTCATCATTTAAGCAAGATAATTTTTAATCAAATAAATACATTATATTTGATAGATAATATTATTATCTAAATACTCGCCAAGCGTTTTTTCTTCATTCTTATTTTAATCACGTTTAATATCACTTTTTTTTAATATTATTTATCCATTCAATTAAATATAATTTCGAACAGGCGAGCATCGCACTCGAGTTCCGATTATGATAAGGACGTCGAGGAGAACGCGAGCCCGGTCATTGTGCCGGACCATGTGATTGGAACCCGACCGGAGAAGTACTGGGGCCCAGATCCCACCACCGGCGTCTTCGGCCCCGACGATCCGAAAGACGGTGAGGTCGCCTCAGTCTCAGGCCGCCCCAAGCCGCCGGAATCCGGGAATCGAGGCTCGTCGGCGCTGGACGAGACTGTCCGGTTCCGGCAACTGGAGCTTGAGGACCGCGAGCCGGAGGACCAAAAGTGAGCTCGGTACTGCTCCTGGTCCGCTCTCTTTTGAATATAAATAATAAATAAATAAACAACAGGACGTGATGTGTATGTACAAAATAAGTACTACGTGTCTACCTGCCCAAAATAAATAGTACTACGTGTCCGTATCGTGGTGTGATTGGTAGTTGATCCTTGGATTGCCACCGTCCGTTTCGCGGCACTTGCCGCATAGACCTAAAACCTATGATATCTGCCGCGTGTTCTTTGTTTTTTTTAGGAATTCTTTATCTTTGTTTGTTCTTTGTTTTTTTAAAGAATTCCTTATCTTCGTATGTTCTTTGTTTTTTTAAGGATTTCCTTTATTCAATTGTAGTTTATAATGAGCAACGTAACGCTCTCGAAAACTTTGCTTAGTAAATAGTTTTTTTTTAATATGTGGCTAAATTAAAAAAAAAAAACACAGTTTTTAATTTTTTATATGTGTGAACTGGGTCAGGATATCCATGTATTGAGTAAAATAGGTTTTAAAATCATTAACTTTATTTTTAAAATTGTCTAAATTATAATTAATCAACAACTCTGTTGCATTCACATTCACAACAACAACAATAATAATAATAATAGATTTAAAGTATATGAATTTCAAATTTTGTTAAAGATTAATGACAATCATTTATCCAAATGTCTAATTATTCGGTTTCAGAATAATTTTTGGAGGCACTGAATACTAAAAATAATAAAAATTAATTGACATAATAGTCGTCAAATTCG